TATTTCTTGCGTATATTTGGTATTTATGTGAATGAATATGTATATCGCTTATTGTGAATGTTATTTGTGAAGTTACAATTGGTAAAATAATATTTTTAGCGTATTCGTATATGCAGTGGGGTATTGAAGGAAGTTTCTGTGTTGTTGTTTAGTTAGGATAGGATAAAATTAGATTGGGTTGAAGCAATTTAGGTGTGTGACGCATAATTTGATCAGCGAAAAAAGTAGTGAAATGTTTTTTTGGATAGGAAATTTGGATTATTGGGTAAAGAATTGAGAGAATTTTTATTTAGTTGCGAGTTTCGGATTAGAAAATAGAGTGAATTGAACAGAAAGAGATTAGAAAATGGCTGGTTGGATGGGTGGGTGCTGCTGTCTTTCTTAGGAGTGTTTTATCTGGCTTAGGGTATTAAGGCGTCGTTTAAAAGTATCGTTTGTGAGTGACACGAAAACTTTATAGCTTGTGGTCTATGGCTTATGAATGACGGTATTGAACATTGTTAAATGATATAAATTGATAAGGGATACACCTTTTGCAGGTGTTATCATCTCAGTGTACATTGTGCTTGTGTTATTATTGTTATTGTTTATTATTTTTAGTGTTATTATTGTTATTTTTACTATTATTATTAAAGGGAATTGGCTTATTTTGGGCAGTTTTTTGAGCAGGAAACAGAATGTACAAAGTGCATGATTTGCAGAATGTTTATCAATTTTATCAATGTTTCACTTATGACATCGGGAATTCGTTATCAATAGGGATTTGTTATCAGTTGCGATTTGACTCGTTATCTCATATGATTGCTTATGATTCGATTGATTTTCCGTGCGGTAGAATTGATTCCATTTAACATTCAGTTGCGTTTTGAGTATATTTTTTAAAGGTTTTGCAACAGAATTTTGATTATTTCGTAGATTTATTTCGGGATTTCGTTGTGGTCAATAATAGTAATAATAATAGCAATAATAATAGTAGTAGTTGTTCCATTCGCATCAGAAATGCCTCCGATTTCTGCATCGGATTGTGATCGAGACTCTAGACAAGTTGCTGGAGTGGTAAACCTCCCCAGCAACACTATGGTTGTCAATGCCATGGCCTCTAGTGCTACCCCACTGGCCTCAGCCGGTCCCCCGACCTCAAGCTCGAGTTCGACGAGCTCAAGATCAAGTGCTGCTAGCGCAGTGAGTTATTGTGGTGCTGGTGATGGTGGGGAAGGGGGTGGTGGCGCTTGGCCAAACGCCGCCGCCGCCACAGCGGTGGCACGACAAGCCAATTTGGGGCCGTTGCTGTTCGACTGTGCCATTTGTGCAGTGTTGGGTGAGTTTTGGGTGGCAAATTTGTAGCGTGCAGTTTTGTAGTTTGTAGTTTATAGGATGTAGTTTGTTCGGTTGTGAAGTTTTGGCGTCAAAAATGCGATGGAATATCCAAAAAAAGAATGCCCCCGAGGTGTTCCAAATGTCAAAACTGATTG